CTTGTAATATATTTGAATACATTTTATGTGCATGCTGTATTATATTTTAACTTTTCAATATTTTAACATTTTTTAACTACATATATATATATATATATTTTTTTTTATATATAAACCACAATGTAAACTACTGGGTTACCAGTAATTGTGTCAGCTATTAACGTGTTTTATTTATTTTGTTATTCTCCTTTGCTTTCTACACCCTGTCCACTTACAGCTTAAAAAAACTTAATGTAAATTCAGCCTGTTTCTAATTTAACAAGAAGTCCTTAGCCTGCGAGCAGGCTCACATTTGAGTCACATGCGCGAGTGGCAAAGAGCAAAGCCATCCGGCAGGAAGGAGTCTGGTGAAGAAGTGCCAAGAAAGTGAGCCTTTCATTTCTGCTTCATCTGAGTGAAGTGAAATACCATTGGTCGAAAAGCGGAAAGGTGAGACAACTGTCAATCTTTGTTAATACATTGAAAAATGAAAATGACCAGTACTGTGGAAAAATGACCAATACTGAGGAATCATAATACACTGCTTTTCCATGAAACTTATTAGGTCCCAGAACACTTTTCACTTGAGTGTGGAAAGTAATTTGCATTTTCTTTGGTTTTGCATTACCACAACATGAATGGCTTAAAAAGCTTGTGCCCCTTTGTCATCTAATCAGAGATAAATCCAAAACCATTAATGACTTGCTGGAACTAATTTTTCTGCCCTTCACATCAGCTACATGTAGTTAAGATAACACAAAGGTTGGTAATTCAGTGAAGGAAACACTCATCTGTCAGTTTTGCGTTTTAAAGTGCATGTATTGTGGCATGTTAGACCAAAAGAAAAATAGCTAAGAGTATTTTGGGATATTACATTTTATAATCTAAACAGTTGCATATTGTGTGCATAGGAAGATTTTACTTAAAGGACCATGGAACAATGACAAGGTCCTGGATAGGCAAAAGCAATTATATTCTTACATGTTACAGCCCTGATAGTCCAAAAGAAATAAAAGATTTGTGTGGTCCACTTCAAAATTAAAAGAATCTTAAACAAACTAACCTTAAAACACATAATTTATAGTATTTGAATGACGAAACATTAAATAATTTTGTGAGACAATAAGAATTTCTACCATGATTAGTGTTATCATTAGTATTAAAGGCCATTAATAGACATTAAAAGTGTTTAATTAAAAGTTAACATTAAAGATAAAATAAAATATACATGTATGTTCACAAATTGGATTTAACTAGTTACACTTCACCTGATGCTTCTCCTTGTCAAATCTGTCATGAATGGTTATGAAACGAAGATCAAACCGTCTTAAGAGAAAAGAGAACCAATATAAAATAACATATTAATATTTATAACTATATTTCTATCTACAAGTAATACAATCCCATATCTTTGACACCTAGTGTTTGAAAACACTGTCATCACAAGAAACTGAATGTGTGCATTTTTAACCATACTGCTATAATTCTACAGATAGAAATACAGAACTGCAGTGTAGTCTGATTATACCCAAGCAAAGATAATTTACATTTCAATAATCACAACAAACCAGTGATGTTGAAAAGCCTTTCTTTTCCTGTCTATATTTTGAAAAGACAGCAAAAACATTTTCTTTGCATTTCTTCAAGTTAAAGAAAATCTCACCAAAGTATAGGAGAACTTGAAAAAGTTGTAGAGACACACACCTATGGCCCACACTTGACAACATTGCCTGTTCTCCTAAACTGATACACTATAGATATAACACGGGAAAGGTTTCTTTTTCTTACATTACTGTGTATATGCAAATTACCTGCAGAGATCAAACAAGTGATCAGTTTCATCCCGTGTCCATGTGGAGGGGGGGCCATCATGGAGGTACATCTGTAATAAGTACAATAATGCATAATGTCAGCTTAGGAGAATTATTAGGTAGGTGTGATATTGGGAAAATGTTATTACCCAAACAAATCTTAATAAGGTACACACATTGTTAGGTAATGGTTGCATTTAAGGGAGTGCAACATGTCTTTTATGTTTTTATTTGCTTCCAAATGAAATTAAAACCTCAAAATAATTACATAGGTCCGGATCCTTACTGTCAAAAAGAGGGTAAAGAATAGATGTAAAAAACAGGGAAGATCAAGAGGAAGAGTGTTAAATTTTTTAACCTGTACTAACTCTGGAAGAAGAACACTGAACAGCAACAAAAAAGCATTAAGTGTGTTTCTGTAGCTCTCAAAATTTTATGAACACTACACTTTCATAGACACTAGGCAAAATGTCATTTGACACAGATTGTATTCAACTACAAGGTTTCCTACAATTTACTGGAGTATTCCACACATAGGTTCAGCTTGGTCTGAATTTGAAGTGTGTTGGAATGTAAGTAAAAAATCTGTGGACTGAGTTTTTGGCAATGTTCAGAAGATGTCCAGAAAAAATTCAGAGAGTTCAGAGATTTGAAAGAGTAATCAGAAACATTCCAAAATCTTTAAACAGCTCATAATGTTGCCTCTCAACCCTAACAAAATGACAGAGTATTAATTAACAATCTTGGATTGACTATGTAGTGTATCAAGCAGTTATTTTAAGAAAGCCACAACTGCAGGTACACACTTTCCGTGAGCGAAGAATTGGCACTGTATAAAGTCAAGTCCCATAATGAGTATTTCCCCTACTCCATGGTTGGCTTGAAAGCATAGCATTTACAGTGTAGCTTGTAATAAACCATATTTGAAGGTTAAACCAACCTGGTACTCTTCATCTGTATAGCTTGGAACATTAACTTTCTGGAGATGTAAAAGTTAAAACATTCAATAAATATTTCATGATAAAAGAGCAGACATAAGTTACCTCCGATTCATAGCTAAAATGCACTGGCTGAAGGAACAAATTGAACTAATAACTAATTAAAATTAAACTAATAACCCTCATAGTAATAGTTAATGGCCCAAAGAACATTATAGAGAACAGTCTCGTATGCTGACAGGATGACTGAGACATTTTTCAGACTGTAAGACATGAATGGTATGTGTATCTACAACCCAGGGGGGAGGGGGAGGACTCTCAGATAAATTGGGTGGGGGTGTGCAGTCTGCTTCCCAAAACCCTCACACCCGGGGGGGGGGGGGGGGGGGGCGGTGGCGGAGAGGGAGGAGTGAGCTCCCATATGAAAATGACGAAGGGGTTAAAAACGCGATTTTCGTACCTCTTAGTGTGTTTAGTGTCAAAATTTCCACAGCGGGAGCTTTAGCANTGGCGGCACCAAGGCTCTGGAATAAACTACCCCTCCAGATCAGACTTTCATCATCAGAGGCAGTTTTTAAGGCTAATCTTAAGACTTATCTTTTTAAGCATGCATTTGATTTGTAGTTTTTACTTTTTATTTGTAGCCTAACTGTATTATAAAGCGTATTTAATTCTTAGGATTTTAACTTTTAGGATTTAGGATTTTAGGTTTTTAAAGAATTAGGATTTTAATTTTAGGATTTTAAACTTAGATTTTAATTTTTAAGTATTGTAAAGCGCCATGGACAATTAGTGGAAAATGACGCTATATAAATGTATATTTATTTATTTATTTATTTATTTAGTTAGTTAGTTAGTTAGTTAGTTAGTTAGTTAGTTAGTCAGTTAGTTATTTATATAGACGCGAGTGTTTTACTGGAAAATACACCACTCGTAAATTTCATGCGAAACCACATTGGGGACTCGAGTGGCATATTTTCCATATCCTCACTAGTGAAGATATCGATGATTTTACTGATATCAAGTTTGTCTCTTAAACTGTACTTAAATTCGTTGGTGTATCATAGAAATATCTACGGGGCTTCCTCAAAAGTCTTCGGCCTTTTTCGGTAATCTTCAGAAATCCTTGGTAATGTTTGGAAATTTTCAGAAAATGTTCGGAAGCGTTCGTGTGACCTTCAGACAAGTTTTGGAGAATCTTTGGAAATCTTCGGAAAGTGGTCGGAAATCTTCAGCAAATCATGAAAAACGCTGTCATTAATATGTCTATATAATAAAAAAGAACATACATACATACATATACTTTATTTATAACATTACACATTAACGTGAAGATATGAATATTATGTTCACATGGCAAGGACAATATCTCATGAGTGAGCGCAATCCTCTTACCACCATGTAATATCCTCTAAATATTTTTCATATGCTCTGTTAACAGCCCTGGCGGCTGGGAATGACCTAGTAGACTTAAGTTAATGCCTTGTAACCAAAAATTTTATAGATTTTCATGGATACTATTACAAGATATGTCTGTTTGGAAATGCAAAGCGATTCAAAAACATTTTATGGCTTTGTGATTGATAAATTTTCCAAACCTTAACATCCAGCTACAGAGGTGACACTGACAGTGCTAAGAGTACTCGTAACCCACTAATGTGATCCTGGTTGGATTTTGGCCTAGTGTCATGCGTGTGGGTTGAGTTTGTTGCCAGTTTTGCCTTGCTCTGGTGGTTTTTCTCTGGGTACTTTGGTTTTCCTCCCTCCACAAAAACCAACATCCCTAAATTCCAATTTGACAGGACAGAGTACTACATGAAAACCAGCTAAGGCTCATGTGACTTCCTCTCTAAACATTTTACCAGAAGTAATCACTCAACAACAACTGTGGATGCTCTATGCTCCATACAAAGACCGACTGAAGAGAGTTTAGGAAGTAATATATCAAACACAAGAAACATTCTTTCATTGGGATATCCAAACACCGAGAAGAGAGTATTTTTGACAAAATTTGAGGTGTTTGGATAGAGCCGATGAACCACTGTCTCGAGTGTTTGATATATCTTCTCAATCGAAATAAACANAATGTTCGGAAGCATTTGTGTGACCTTCAGACAAGTTTTGGAGAATCTTTGGAAATCTTCGGAAAGTGGTCGGAAATCTTCAGCAAATCATGAAAAACGCTGTCATTAGTATGTCTATATAATAAAAAAGAACATACATACATACATACATACATATGCTTTATTTATAACATTACACATTAGCGTGAAGACATGAATTTTATGTTCACGTGGCAAGAACAATATCTCACGAGTGAGCACAATCCTCTTACCACTGTGTAATATCCTCTACATATTTTTTATATGCTCTGTTAACAGCCCTGGCAGCTGGGAATGACCTAGTAGACTTAAGTTAATTCCTTGTAACCAAAAATGTTATAGATTTTCATGGATACTATTACAAGATATATATGTTTGGAAATGCAAAGCGATTCAAAAACATTTTATGGCTTTGTGATTGATAAATTTTCCAAACCTTAATATCCAGCTACAGAGGTGGCACTGACAGTGCTAAGAGCACTTGTAACCCACTAATGTGACCCTGGTTGGATTTTGGCCTAGTGTCATGCGTGTGGGTTGAGTTTGTTGCCGGTTTTGCCTTGCTCTGATGGTTTTTCTCTGGGTACTTTGGTTTTCCTCCCTCCACAAAAACCAACATCCCTAAATTCCAACTTGACCAGGACAGAGTACTACATGAAAACCAGCTAAGGCTCATGTGACTTCCTCTCTAAACATTTTACCAGAAGCAATCACTCAACAACAACTGTGGATGCTCTATGCTCCATACAAAGACTGACTGAAGAGAGTTTAGGAAGTAATATATCAAACACAAGAAACATTGTTTCATTGGGATATCCAAACACCGAGAAGAGAGTATTTTTGACGAAATTCGAGGTGTTTGGATAGAGCCGATGAACCACTGTCTCGAGTGTTTGATATATCTTCTCAATCGAAATAAATACTAAGGAGTAAACGGAGAACTTAAATCGTCAAAGTCTATGCTAATTAAGACCGGGTATCCAAACCTCCTTCTTGGTTGTGATTTTCTTTGTTTTAACTGGATGAATTATTAATGATTTAGAGAAAAGAATATCTAGCAAGCAGCACTGACTGAATAGCTTTTTCCCATAACCCATAAAGTTAAAAATCACTGACTGACTTTTTCCACTGCACTAACCTGTTGTCACTGTATAGCAAGGCATACAGCTCACGATGCATCCCCTCTGGACGTTTGAAGCTTTGTTCCCCAGCTCTTCTAAGCTTTCTTGGCTAACAGATCAATGTAAAGTTGAGAGAAAGATGATAATAACACTCTAATAATGAACAGACAATGACTTCAAATCATTGATTATCGATCACTATGAATAGATTGTGATATTGTTTTCTGATATTATTAGTGTATTATCTTCAGGTTAGAAACAGATTAACCTGAGAAAAAAATTGGCCTGCAACATGTTCAAAAAGTAGAGAGAATTTAAAACTGTTGACATGTCATCAATCTCATTATGGAAACACTGTTTCAGCCAGGAAATTTTACTTGAGGGCCAAAATGGCCCCTGAANAAAGGGGCCAATAAATTGAAAGCTACAGAAGAAAAAAAAAGCATCGGGGTACCAAGGAAAATAAAGCAGTTTATTAGGATCTATGATAAAATTTAATAGTAAGCAGGAGGAGGAGGAGGCAGGATTCCCGCAAGGGTGCGCTCTGGTGGAAACACTGGAAAACAATTAAAATAAGACGACTTGTGGGCAGCACGCAGTAACAACTAATAATCTTGTACAACTGAGTTTATTAATCAACCGCTTTCGGCTGCTAGTGTCAGACTTCAACAGAATTAAACTACGAGATACAAAGGTGGAACTTATTTTATATTAAACCTCTGCAGTACGAAGTACGCTTCTACTATAGGGTGTGAACAACAAAACACCCACAAGAAATACGTGCAGGATATTACTAAAATCCTGTGTTAGAAAATGTGCAATGTAAGCGGGGCTCACAGATTTAACATTAAATCCGTGAGTTTCTTTTTGTGGTAAAACCCACATGATGGCATATGTGCAGCAGTTGACCTGCAGCCATACCTGGAGATGGTTTTCAGTCCACCACACAATACCAACCAGTTCTGGCCAATGCAGGTGAAGCAGCTGCACCCTTTCAATTTAATCATCAGGAATTTCAGCTTCCTTTTAAACCAGCAAGGACTGAGTGGAAGCGAACTGTGAGTGGGCTCAACAGCCACTGAATTGTTGGAAAACCTTCCACATAACCTCATGGTTATTTTCTTTGATGTATATGAAGAGTAATTATGAACAGAAAAAAGCATGGGCACCTGTGGGTGCCTGAGTAAAACATCCAGTTATTTGAACTGGGGGCAGAGCAAAATATCACTGGAATGCTTTGTTTGTAAAATGATTCTTTCAATTCAAATTAAGGCTTGATTATGGATGGGGAAAGCATGGGCGCCTGTAGGTACAGTAGAACATCCAGTCATTTGAACTGATGGCAGAGCGAAATATCGCTGAAGTGCTTTGTTTGTTGTGACTTTTTTCATTATGTAAATAAATTGTTATGGAAGAAGTTCAGACACTCAAAACGATATGCAAAGTTGAAATACATAACAACAATACAGTTTTCTGGACTTTGCACTAGTTATGTAATACCTCTGTAATAAATGCCAAGACTGCTTGTTCACTCCAATCACGCTTAGTCTTCCAGCCAGTTTTCCAGCAGAGCACAGCTAAGTGAAGGCCCACTCTCCCACCCTCATTGCATGGATTGTACCTCTACTTGACCTCCCCTAAGCCAAGCTGTTCCATCTTGGCTTAGTCTGCTGGTCAATCATTATTCCCATATCTTATTTCAACTGAGTATGAATGGGAGTGTTGTGAAATAGAATACTATATAACAGCTCTGCATCTCATTTCAGCCCAGTTTGCATAAGAATCCTTTGGCTGTTGGCAGTCACAACATGTTGTCTCTCTTCTGGTTTACTTCTAAATGCTACCACGCTTCTCATTTCCCCTCCCTTCCTTTCCCAATCCTTTTATACTTCCAACTCACTCTAGTGCAGTCGCATTTCTCCATCTCTTATTTAGTAAGCATGAAAGGGACTGCTGCAAATAGTATGCTATTCCCTATCTTGTTGCATTTGCTAGAGAAACTTGCACATATTTGGTAGGATTTAATTCATGAAGCAATAGGATGACAACATACGTGGAGTGCGATACTTATGGTATCACAATGTTTTTATTACAGGATGATTGTAATACTTCCTTGGCTTTCCTAATTTGCTATCATGGTCTGGATTAAACGAGCTTATTTTAGTGTACAAACATTCAACAGATGTCTATACACTGTTTTCAACTACAAGTGTTTTGTGTCAATTTTTGGCCTACTTAACACTGTTAGTTTATGGCCATCTGACTGTTGGTAATGTGTCAGTATCATGTAGACCCTCGTGCAGTTAGTTGACAGGTTACCAACGGCCAAAACTAGTAGCCATTGTTCACTATAACTAAAAAATTACTTGCCAAGAGTGAAGATATGCCAACTTTTTTTCTGTTCCTGATCTATTTGAGAGATTATCGATGATTATTACACCCATTGACCAACAACAATCAGTTACGATTACAAAGGTGGGTTTAAATAAACGTCTGGCCTCTCATATAAAACGAACAAAGGACCTCACTGAAAAACAAGGCGTTTATGTGAAGCAGGCGTTTTAGTCAAGGCCTGGCGTTTAAGCGAGAAAATACAGTACATTAGTTTCAAATAAACGGAAAAGCTATAATTATGTCATTTACTGCATGTAAGAGTCTATCTAGTTAACTAAATTTATTATTGCACGGTAGTTTTAAAAACACCTTTTGATAACAACTATAAAAGCCAAGCTTACCTTGTTTCCTCCAACGATAGCCTCTTTACTTGGCGTAGAAGCAAGCCCTTGCTCCAACTCCAAAATATCTCGAATATCACTCATGTTGTCAACTTAACTATCAAAACAATTTACAAGTGAACTAGCTAGCAATATGGACTCAACTCAACTCAACTCAACTCAACTCAACTCAACTCAACTCAACTCAACTCAACTGTAGGCCGCCATGTTGAATTCGTCCCGGGTCCCAGTTTCACTCGGCCAGCCGTGTTCTGCTGATCGGAAGCAAACCTACTCACATGTTCCGCTGATTTTTTTTGTCTACAGATTTTATATGATATAACTTCGGTAGTTTTACTTTGAGAATGGTTCGAATCGCATTTGTTCATCCAGATCTTGGAATTGGTGGTGCAGAGCGTCTTGTTGTGGATGCTGGCTTAGCCCTGAAATCACGCGGGCACGTAGTCCACTTTTTCACTTCACATCATGACAAATCTCACTGCTTTGAAGAGACAAGAAATGGATCGTTACAAGTTACTGCTGTCGGAGATTGGCTTCCTAGACACTGCTTTGGTTACTTTTACGCCTTCTGGGCTTATGTAAGGATGATTTATGTCTCCTTATATCTTGTGTTCTTCTCATCATGGCGGATGGATGTTGTCTTCTGCGATCAAGTGTCTGTGTGCATCCCTGTTCTTAAGCTCAGTAAGGCACGGATTGTGTTTTACTGCCATTTTCCTGATCTGTTGTTAACTCAACGAAAAAGCTTGCTGAAAAGGATCTATCGTGCTCCGTTAGACTGGCTAGAGGAAGTCACAACTGGTAAGTTACCTACATGTATTTGGGTGATGGGGGTGCTGGTGGGGAGGTGGTGGGGGGGCGTCGTTCAATTCTGCTGTGATTCTTGCAGGGAGGAGGGGGAATGATTTGAGGGTAGGCATCTTCCGTGCATCTTCTGGGGAACAAAGTTGATGCCACAGTCCTGCAGGAAAGTGGTCTGTTTCTCTTTGTGTTACTGTAATAATACATTACATAACTGGGGTGCTACATGTAAGTCACTTTAGAGGTAACAGTAACTTCATGTGCAGAGACAGGAAAGTCATCAGGGATGTTAGACTTATTTGATCTAAGCATTTATGTCAACTCTCCTGGATTTTCTGGGAGTTTTCTGTTTCGAGTCGTTCGTATCAAAGCAGTCGAACGCCATTTTAAAGCCAACTGATAACTTTTATTTATAGCTATTAAGGAAAGCTTCTCTTTTGACACATCACTCGACCTGGTGNTGTTTCGAGTCGTTCGTATCAAAGCAGTCGAACGCCATTTTAAAGCCAACTGATAACTTTTATTTATAGCTATTAAGGAAAGCTTCTCTTTTGACACATCACTCGACCTGGTGTCGAGGCTATAGAACAATACCTATTGTCACATTTTCCCAATACAGACCGAATTTCCAGGTCTCACATTCGGGTCACCAAATCTCTTGGATACAAAAGAAACCACTCAAAATACAAAAGGTCGATTTTTGGCACTTTTGGAAGGAACTCTTTGGAAACAGTTTCCCACATTTCTGTGACTGAATCAGCAGAGCGCTACTTTTAACACTGTTTTCTTTATGTCGAGAAGGTAAAAATGGCAATCTCATAGAGCTCAACTTTTTAGTGTTGACATCTCTGTCTAGCTGGTCTGCAGGTATTCAATGCAATGAACATCTTATCATGTTAACGGCTGTGTCAATTCCAAGCCTGCCCATTCCCCTGGGCACTGGATGGGCACTTGACAGGTTTTCGCTCCCCACCATGAGGCATTTGCTGGCAAGGGGCTGTCCAGGGATGGGGCATTTGACAATTTAGTAAACAAACAAATAATTTTACATCAGTACTTCACAAAAATGAGAGCCTGCTTTATTAAACATGTGCGAGAAAATTGATTCAAGAAGTGATGGCAAGCATGATAGACAGCCGTGCTCAAATGTAAACAAACATCATCTTTGCAAGTTTGCATTGCACTGGTGGTCACTACTTTTGACCATGTTTGACATGTTTGAATCAATTTCAATATGTTTTATGTAAAAAAAGTTGATTACACATGAATCACAGTCATAATCAAAACATAATTAAGCAAGATTTTAATACCAATTAACAGAAGATGCTTTTTCATGTTAGTGGGCATGAGTACACAGCAATGTTGCTGTATATAAGCCAAGTCAAAAACATCAAGTGTTGAGCATTAACTTGTAATATGGGTATTTGCACTGTTCTCACATCCCCACCATGGGGATTTTGCATGGATCAGCTGCCCCATCATGGGGCATTTGCCACCTTATGAAAAGAAAATATCAAATGCCCGGCAGGGGGAGATGGGCATGCTCGGAATAGAGGTCATTGAAGGATCAATGCAACTGGAGAAAGATGCTAAATGGAATCATTACAGCATCCAGCAGTATGTCTCACTCTATAGTCAAGGGTCCCTGAAAGAGCTCTCTCCTTTCTCTCACCTAGCTCCTTTTCTTTTAAACCTTATTGTTTAATATTAAATTAGTAATAACCAACATGTTACCTAAATTTCTTTTACAGGCATGGCAGACACTGTTCTTGTGAATAGCAACTTCACCGCTGAGACTTTTGTGTCAACATTTACTAGATTATGCAGCAATCGCCCACGGGTCTTGTATCCTTCACTTAATTTTTCATCATTTGATACACCAGTTGCACCAGAAGAAACCGACAAAGATTTGATACCACCTTCTGCCAAGTTTGTGTTCCTTTCAATAAATCGTTATGAGAGAAAGAAGAACCTGAATCTGGCCCTGGAGGCATTAGATTGGCTTAGAAATATTATCAGTGACACAGAATGGAAGGATGTACATTTAGTTATGGCAGGTGAGTTTATTTAGACTCTAACATTGCATGTCTTTCAAGTCTCTTAAGTAACAGCAACCTGTCATGAAGTGTTAGCCATCTTTCAATCTCACATTCTACTTCATGAAAGCATATCATATTGCCTATAGATACATGTTTTTCAAATGTCTAAATATTTCCTCTTTCAGGTGGCTATGATGATAGAGTTGTAGAAAACAAGGAACACTTCTTGGAACTGTGCAAACTGGCAGAACAATACAACCTCAGCAGTAAAGTGACATTTGTGAGATCATTTAGTGACACCCAAAAACTGACACTTCTTAATCAATGTACATGCTTGATCTATACCCCAAGCCATGAACATTTTGGTATAGTTCCAATTGAAGCCATGTACATGAAACGTCCAGTGATTGCAGTCAATAGTGGTGGACCTTTGGAGACCATTCAAGATGGGCTGACAGGATTTTTATGTAACCCTGATGCAGAGTCCTTTGCTCTAGCAATGCGGAAGTTTTTGAAGAATCCAGGGCTTAGTTCAACACTGGGTGATGCTGGCAAGACTAATGTCATCAAGAAGTTCTCTTTTGATGTATTTGCCCAACACCTTCACAATATTGTATGTTGTTTGTACTTGGCAGAATTTGATGCATATCCCCTTGATTAGTCTTAATATACATGTAGATCTACATATACAACAGCTTGCATATTATATCATAAGATTGCATTTTCAAACAAAAAAAGGTGATGGGATCAGCTCGGGATATTGTCTTACTGGTGCCCCCAAATTACCACTGCTTAAACTAAACGAAATGTATTGTAATCAGGAAGGACAAGAAACAATACTTATGTTAAAACTTAGACTACATGTACAAGATGGAGGCAGCTGTGTTTTAACCATAGACAATAACCAGGGGTTAGTGTTATCCAGCTGTAACCTCTCCTGACAAGGGGTGTTTTCCTTCAGCAATGTTGGTTTCTACTGTCTGCAACCCTTATTTCTTTAACAACAATGTATGGTTTCTTACCTACATGTAAATGTCCTATACTTACTCTGCATTATCTTCAAGTCATCAAAATGCACAGAGGTGGAAGAAAAAACCCTGACCTAAAAACTCCACGAGTTTCCAGGAAACAGGCAACATGGTCATGATTAGAAATGACAACAGGGTCTACCCTTAGCCTGACAGAATGGCTGTTCATGCAATTGTATTTCCAGAGTTGACAAAATAACTTGTATCAGATTTTACTACAAAAACTTAATGTGTAGCAGTGTACAGCAAGTTAATTATCTTGGTTTGTTGACAGGTAACAGATGGAATGCAGGCAGGCAGCATGTGGCTGACAGCTCTTACATGTTTTCTTATGGTTGTTGTGTTCTGTGTGGCATGTGTGTGGGCCATCAATTTCTATGACAGTTACTGACAAGGACCTTAATAATTAATAATTGTCAACTTAGCACAGATGCAACAGTACATGTATGTAGTGACTGGAAAGTTTTATCTTCATTGCATATTTTACCTCTTTTCAAGTTTTATTTGCTTGTGTGTAGAACAAGTCATTAATAGAAGTTTTTCCTCAACAAGGCTCTCCTTTCTCACAAATCTGTAAGCTAGTGTTAGAAGAAGAATTGGAAGAAAAAACGTTTCAAGCGGTAAAACTTGCTGACAAGTAGCATGCGCAGCTCAGGAAGGAAAAGTTGTCATGGAATTAAAAAATCTATGTCATTTTGGGAAATTCTGCTGTACAAAGCAGCATGTGCCAAGAAAGTCATGTCTGATATCCCTGACCCGGTCTTAAAGATCTTGCTGCTGTGCTAGGGGATTCTATACTTTGCTTGACCAATGGGTAAGTGTAGTTTTTTGAGGGAAAATTGATGCTACTAAGAAATTTTTGGGTGCTATTGAAAATAACTTCCAGGTCAGTTCATCGAACAGCTTTCCCAAAGAGCAAGTTCGAAAACAGGTTTTATTGGCACTGCGGTTTTAGTTAGCAGTTCCAGGGCTTCCCTCTTCGTTTTTTTGCAAACCTGGTTGTCATTAGACAAGTGCTGTTTCGCAAATTTCGCTCCAGACTTTCTTTCCGGGGCGACTTTGGCAGCTTCAATAACTTCAAAGGCCACATAGAGAGTGTGAAAAAGAAAGCTAGGGAGCTTGGAGTAAATTGCTTCGAGCCAAAATTATTTTACCTGGTGAGGTCGACTACAAAAGCAAATTACAGAAATTATTTTCAGCGTTCAGTGCTTGTTTGGCTATAAATTAATATTCATAACGGTCTTGAAAACCGTGCATAAGAGTCCACAGCGGAACACTGTCTAATTGTTCCTTACAGAGGACAATATAACTCAAAAACTGATTTTGTTTCAAATATGACCAATATTTTTTAAACATTTGTGGTCATCCACAGCTCATAAAATGATAAAATCTTACAAATTAACTGACTAATCTCCTCTTTTGCTGTTTACTGACTACATCCATTATTTCTAACTGACTGAATGCATGGCTATACCCCATAGACGCCTTTGTGATAGGCCCTGCAGCAATTACAACATGCTAAAATTCTAACATGGTTTCAACACTAACTTGGCTAAAACAAAAGAAATCACATGGAGGTGACAAGGTATGAACAACCAATTTAATTTTTTAAGTCCCCTAAGCCTCTGCACCATGATAGAATTTTAATGTATGGAAATATTTATTTTCTAATGGACAGCAGACTTTGATCCTCTAATGCAGACATTCTTTGCATGCCGAGTTTTATTATCTGTATATCTTAATTAACTTGGTAGAGAACTCTCACAATAATATATTAATAAAATGATGAAAATCAATATAATGTCGGTAAACATTTGTCTCTATAACATCAAAATAAAAAGTCAAACAATTTATTTGATGGAGGTGAATGTTGTAAAACTGTCTTGTTTTCAAAGAAATTTAAGTAAGCCAAAACTATATTTTAGAGGTAAGATCTATTTATGAAGGCAGATCCTGAATGATGCTGGATAAACTTAATATGCATTCTTAGGCCAAAATGTTGTGTAGTAAGCTAAGGGCAAATGTTCTCTTTGTTTTCATTCTGATAGTTGAATCGCTCAATTTTTGCATTACGTTGTAACTTTGCATAGTAGCGCAGAACATCTGGGTGGGCACGCACACACTTGCTATCAAAATCCAGAACTCTGAGCCCTTGCAGGCTGCGTACTCTTGAAAGAGCAACATAAGCTTGACCATACTCAAAGACTCTTGATAGAGAGATCTCAACACAATCTAGTGTCATACCCTGGAAAAAATTCAAAATAGCACAGTATATCGGACAATCTATTTCAGTGTGATTATTTAAAACTCTCAGGTTAATTTTATTGGAATCAACCATTTCAACCACAACTGGTTTGGGTTGATACAGTTGACAAACATGTTTCCAACCAATTTTTTTGTGGCTCGGTCTCCAGCCGTGGGTGTTTTGGTTCGCCCGCGATTCTCTCAGGGTGGAGAGGATTGTGGGCGCACTGACACACCCATGGCTGTAAACTGCGCCTAATCTTTTTGAGGCATCCACAGCAGTTTTATTATAAGAGTGGATTCTTTTGCTACCTTCTTATTCCATGTCTGTTATCCGTACAGTATGAACCCAGGCTGATACAGAATAGCACATGAAAATTGAAGGCTTTCGTGCAAAAAGGGTGTATGTAGCATTTGGGTCGATTTTTATTTTTAGCAGGATCGAGCTAATTTTTGGCAGACTGACTTGTTTTGACATGAAAAGCATCGTTGCGTAATTGTTTTTGTTGATTTGCGCTTCGTTTTTGAGAAATAACGTATGCAAAAAACTCAGTTTTCCGAGCGGCATCTTTTGGAGCGAATCCTTGGAAGGTGGATTTTGACGCAGCGTGAACTTAAACAGTTACGTTCAGCAGCTTCGACAGCACGATTTGTTTTTTAAATAGATGTTTTGATTTTTGAAAGAAGTAGAGAAATAGACCGGAAAAAAAATCGACCATCCTGGTATCGGACCGGTGTCTCGACAAGACAAACTCGGATGTGGCTCGTCCAGCGCCTCATCCGCCTGTGCCAACGAAGCAAAAGTAAGAGAAATGCGTAATTATATAAATAATAAAACTAGCGGCAAATACCACGCTTCGGTGACTTCATCGTCGAGCAAAACAAAGGTTTCTTTTGTTTTTCGCTCAACAAAAGATCTCCAAACGATACCCTTGGAAAACTGAGTTTTTTGCATACGTTATTTCTCAAAAACGAAGCCCAAATCAACAAAAANTACATCTCTCACTCACTCACTCACTCACTCACCCATTGACCCGTCCGTAACATACCCGACGCGCCGACTAAGAGGTATTTTTTTTTACAAAAAAATAACTCAAAAATCAACCCAAAATGCTACATACGCCCTTTTTGCATGAAAGCCGTCAATTATTTTTGTGATCATTCAACATGAATGTGTGACCTGTATATGTTCAAATATAATAATGCATAGATCTCTTGATATTGTATGGAAAAATTATTATAATTTGCACATTATAATTATGCTATTGCAGTGCTAATTATGCTGACTGGTTTTGCAAATTGCTAAGTGCCCTCTAGGACTGGAAGGAATGTTAGGCTAATTTTAATTCATGCACTTACTAGACTTTACCTGGCTTTTATGTATGGACACTGCCCATGCTAATTTGAGTGGCAGCTGTCTACGAGTGACTGTCCCTCCACCAGGTGTCGTAACCACCCACTTTTCAGGACCAATTACTTCCTCAAGGCCTGATATAAATTTGACAATAGGATAACCTGAAAATATTTAAAATTATTTTCTGTATTCAATAATAATTATAAAAAGCTGGCAATCCAAAATCTGGTATCAGTAAAATACAAAGTTTTGAGTTTCTATAGAAGTTATCAAAGCCAAATCAGTCGAAAGGTGCATTTCTGTGAAGATATAATAACTATCTACCAATGTAGAGCATAAAATTTCCTTTTTAGGGTTAGACCTGTTTTAGTGCTGTTTGTCCACATACAGAAAAATCAAAGAGTGAAAGGAACTTAATTAAATATAGTTGTCATACTGACTACAGTATAGGGTTTCATGTGTGGAAACAACAGAGGTGGTTATTGGGATAACAAATATGGGAATTCAAAATGAATCTCTTTGTCTAGGTTTCCATTTTTTCGAGCACAGTTTCATTTCAAGAAAATCACGCAACAACAATATGGACATATTCAAGGCATTTGGTGTGGTATAAACATCTTGGATCATCCAGGGTGATATTTTTGACTGAAGACGTACCAGCAGATCCTGATTCAAAGCCTTTAATTATACCACGGGCACCATTGACAAGTCCTCTGGAAACATTCAAGTTTTTGGCCAGCATCACCTATATGAGTAATTTAGTTGAAAAAAGTCCATAGGAATTTATTATTAATATTTGTTTTAAATGTTGGCTCACCAAGGATCTCAAGATCACACAACCAGATATCAAATATAGTCAGTTACCTGTGCTCCTTCTTTCAACTCAATGTTCTGTCTCACAGGAACATGACTGTTAAGCATTGTACACATTCCACTGTCGCTATCACTGGCTTGGAATACTTTCTTGTCACCTGACAACCTTGACAAATGTATTTCATTGATCTGGTTCACATTCTCCTTGTGGGTGCAAAGCTTGGTGGCTAGAATTCCATTATGCTCTATGGTTTGATTTTTTGTTTTGGTCAACTTAGAGACAAGCACCTCTGAACAACTAGAAATGAAAAAAGCGGGTGGGATGAAATAAGTAAATGAGAATGAGCAAGGGAACATCCACGGACTCGCAATTCACCAATTGTTTCCAAATCAAAATTTATGGAATTTATAGAAAAGTTGGTATTTTTAGAGGGAGGAAAACCAGAGAACACGTTGAAAAACCCTCACACATTAGATGCAGAGCTAGCAATTTGACTCCAGGCTGCATTAGAGGGAACCAGTGCTCTCACCTCTAAATTAAGGTGAGGTATGGGGTCCAGGTTAATGTCAACAGTGTAAAATGAAGTGTCAATTAAAAGCATTCCACAAAACCAATATGGGAATAAGTTACAGTGCAACACTTAACTCTGACCTTCCAACCCGCACATTTTGTAGAATGGAAATAAAGAGTGGATCTTTTTGTCTAAAGACATGTTTCAGTTCAATGGTTGTATCAATGCAATCACTCCAACTTTCTGCCTGTTGAGGTAAAATAAACATTTTACAATTGATTATAAAAAATAATACAACTGTGTGACTGATGTCGACAACTTACTGTAATATACCAGGCCTCAGTTGTTTAATAAGTGAACAGCAATACCTACCAAATAGCTATTAATTTACCACTATCCATTGGATTCAAGCTTACAGTTACCGTTCTTTAACTTTTCAACAAAGACATGCAAACTAAAGATGTACACTTAATCCACTCTATGGTTAACAAACTGGCTGCATGCAATCCAGTGTTGACCAACAAAAAATTAGTAAGTCCCATTTTACCTGGAAACAAAACTTTTTTGTGCCTGGTTGTTTTGTTACTGGAGGAAGCTGTAAGAAATCCCCTGATAGAATCAGTTGAATTCCTCCAAAAGGAATCTCTTTTTTCCTGACAGCTCGGGCAACAGCCTCAAGCTTATCAAAGTAGGTAGAGTCTACCATCGAGATTTCATCAATGATCAAATGTTTACATCGTCTCCATTGTTGAGAACGTCCAGGGCGTGATGCCAGCTCAACGCACTGGCTAAGGGGTGCACTTCCACTACCGATACCTAACAAAGTTCAAGATCAGGACTAGAAATTTAGCACAGGGTCTAACATCACAATGAAAGCAAAATAGCTACATGTAGAAACTTGTCTCTTACTGAGTAAGCTTTTTATCCCCATTGACTACAAAGCACAATACTGCATGTACTTCCGTTTTTGTTTCCAGGGGAGCAGATGATATCTGAAGGTATCTGCTACTGCTTTTTGGTATTAGATTAAATCAAACTTTGTAAAAAAAAAAGGAAACTAAAAACAGAGACAAAATTTGATTGCATTTTAAGTTTATTTCTTGGAAAAATAGTGTCCCCAATTAGTTATTTTTGAAAAGCTTAATACTCTTTGACACTGAAATAAAGTCTTTTTCTTGCCTTTCATTAAGCCGAAGCTCCAACTATGACCATCTACCCTCACTGGTAGTTTGGAATACATATTATGGAAGTAGAATTCATCAAGACAGAATCCTCCAGTCACTTCGTTTTATGAAATTGTTGGAAGAAATTAGACGCTCACCATTCACACAAAGGAAGCTCACCTGCAAATGCATGAAGTGTGGTACCGCCAATGTGACAAGCTGCAGCTCCGGTACTTGCTGTAACAAATGTGCTCTGAGGTGGTAACATTGTTATCAAGCGTTTAAGCAGATATGATTTTCCAGTTCCTGCACTTCCAGTGAAAAACACGCTCCTTCCCGCTCTTATTGCGTTCACCACTGCCATTTGTTCAGGTATGAGGGTTATTTGAAAAGGACTCAGACAGTTGAGACGTTTTCGTGCCGTTCCATTGTTTCCTTGACCCGTGATATTCTCTTTCTCTGTAGTTTTGATTCTCTTTGGAGTTACGCCATTGTTGTCGTCAAGAGGCCTTTTCTTACTACCCATGGTGAAATCTTTGTCGGTTAGTGGACTTATATTTTCAAATGAACGAACCTTGTCGCTGAGAAGCCGTCTTCGATTACTCGTTAGTCCATTTTGTTTGCTTTGGGCAAGTTTTAGTGTCAAGCATTTTAAAAAAGCTGCGAGCTGATTTGGTGGGCAGTTCGAAAACATAATTTGTGTTTTCTGTGTTAGAAGTTTAATCGTCGCCTTTCCTTCTTGTAAAAACCTTTTGTGGATGGTTAACTCTTTTAAAAGAAAAGTTTTACCCAGTGGAGACTGACTGCTAACAATTCGAAGAGCAATGTCGCGAAATTCATCTCGGCCAAGGACAACTGTGATATTCTTGTATGTTCGCCGTTTTGTGACCACTCCGTTGGAGTTAAGGCTTTCCACCATTATACAGCACTCTAGTTTACTAGTTTCCATTAATCTGTTGAAAAAGAGGTTCTTGATGAAATATATCTTGGTACTAAGTGTTTATGAAAAGTGTAACTTATTGGCTCTAGTTAGTCGATGGTAATGGACCTTTTAAATTTTGGTGCTCAGAAATTTTGTCCAATCACAATTCATTCTCGTCCCCATAGCCCTTTTCGCTCCTCTTAGCCGGCAGGGCCTTGGCACGAGAATCAAATGACTC